AAAGGAGACAGATGTTCAGGGAACTTGCCGGTAAACCAAGAGCCTGGTGGTAAAATATAAAATAATAGAAATGCATTAATTTGAGATGTAAGAGCTAGCTAGAAATAAGATTGAGTTACTGACCAAATGGTATTGCAATTAATATAGTTTCTATGTGATTATTTCAGGTCTGGGCAGCCAGGAAACAAACAAGCTGCCTCCACTTACAGATGCTCACCATCTTATGAGGCTTTTTATGTCATAGGGGTCAAACTCAGCCGAGCCTTCTCCATAACTCCCAAAGACTACCTTTTTTAGAATATTAATGTTTCATGTTTAAAAACAACAAATCAACAACACATTACTGTTGTTGCATTAACAAACCTCTAACTTCTGAGAGCTAGAATTACAAGCATACTACAACACACCTAGAATCTAATATTTGCTTATAAAGGATCTTCCTGTATTTCATAAGAAACAGATTTTATTTCAGCTTTGCAGAATAGTACCCAAATAAGTCTGCATCCTTATCCCAAGAACCTATGATTATATAACCAGGTCAAGTTAAGATTGTAATGATGGTTGTTAGAAATATAGTTCAGTGGGACGGTACTTGTTTAACATGTCCTAGGTCCCAGGTTTCATTCTCAGTACTGGAGAGAGGAGCAGCAGGATGGAGAGGAGGAGAAGAGAAAGGAGGAAAAACAGAGGGATAATAGGAAGGGGCAGGGAGGGAGAGGATGGGGATGTTTTAGACAGATGTTTTAGATAGATTGATGATCTGATACTCTTAAAATAAAATTAGCCTTGATATGTTTGGTCCTGAAATAGAATGAGGCACAGTGATCTCTTGAGGTAGAGCTTGGAAGATGTCTAGGGATTACTAGCCTTCTAGTCTGGCCAAATTTATGAGCCGCAGGTTCAGTGAGAGACTCTGTCTCAAAAAAAATAAAGTAAATAACAAGTGAGAAAAACACACAGCAGCAACCTCTAGCCTCCACAAATAAGTACACAAATACATACACATGAATATGCGCACACATACACTATACACAAAGAGTAGATATCATGAACATATTTAGAAATAATAAGAAAATTTAATCAACCAAACTAATTTATATTACTCTTCCATTTCCTCCCTTTATTTAGATGGTCTCATTTAGTGTCTTAGGATGACTTCAAACAATATTCTGCCTCTTCAGTGCTGGGCTTACATGTATGTACAACTGACTCTAGTTCAAATCAACTTATTTGGGGCAGGTTTAGTAACAGGGTCTCATGTAGTGCAGAATGGGCTCAAACTCACCATCTAGTTGAGGCTGTCCTTAAATCCTGATCTTCCTGCTTCCACCTCTCAAGTTCTGAGACAATAGGTGTGGTGTGTCCTGCCATGCTGTGCTGCTCCTAATTTTGATTTCTTCATAGACAATATTCAACAGACAGAAAATAAAACTGGAAGTTGAACTTAGTGTCGTCATCAACGTTGCAAGTTTCTATGTTAGGTCATTCGTTGTATTTTATATTACAAAATAAAAGAAAACCAGTGAGCATGGGGAGTATGACAAACATATATAAATATGAGGATGCAGTTTTGATAAGGAAGGTTAACAAGGAAAGAAAGCGTATTTCAGGTAAGAAACAATTTTATATAATAAAATCAAATTTGATCTGAGATAAAATTGCTGGACTTTTTCAAAGTGAAAAAGAGGTGTGCACACCCAGAAAGCTTAAGCATATTACAAAGGTCACAAAAGATAAATCAAAGATGTTCCATGTGTCGGGAGTAAATGTTATTAAAATACCTCAGGTCAAAATCCAGGTCACTGACATAAAACTCAAATCTGCCTTTTGTTGAAAAAAAAAATAAAGTTTGCCCAAGGTCTGGTCATGGTAATATTTACAAGAATAGACCTAAAGAAGAAAGATTTTAGTTTTCTTCAAGGTAATTATGTATGATTATTCCAGATTTGTTAAACTTTTATCTACTTAAAAGACTGAGGCTCAGCTGGATGGTGGTGGCACATGCCTTTAATCCAAGCACTCAGGAGGCAGAGGCAGGTCTCTGTAAATTCAAGGCCAGACTGGTCTAGAGTGAGTTCCAGAAAAGCCAAGGCTATACAGAGAAACTCTTGTCTCAGAAGAAAAAAAAGAAAGAAAGAAGAAAAATAAGAGAAACTGGCTCTTACTAAAATAAGTGTTTATTCAGAAATCTGTTGGCTTTTATTTAAACTTTACTTAAATGTTACCCCCAAACGTTAAACTAAAAATCCATTACTCCTCTGTTAAATTTGTTTCTGGGTGTTCACCAACAAAAGCTTACAAGCCAAATCCAAAAGAGATGAGAGAGCTAAAACTAAAGTCAATATTTTGGCATTTACTCTCCAAGTTCAGTCCAGACGTAAGGAGTGATGAGACCCCCCTCTCCAATGGCCCTCCATCTCCAGTAAGCCACCTGTCCTCTTGACCAGAGAGGCTATGGATACTCTGGATGATGATCTCTAACTACCAAATGCTGAATACCAAAAGATGGGTCTCAAGTCAAAGTGTCTGCAGATGGTCACTTCTGAGGCTATGCCAGAACTCTTGGGCCTGTGCTAGCTTCTGGTGGCTGGCTGGAAATTCTTGACATTCCTGGCTTATAGAAGCATCATTCTAACTGTCATATTTATCTTCACATTATTTTACTTTTGAGTGTCTGCGTCTCTCTCTCTCTCTCTCTCTCTCTCTCTCTCTCTCTCTCTCTGTGTGTGTGTGTGTGTGTGTGTGTGTGTGTGTGTGTGCAAAACACAGAGACATAACATAAAGGAGTAGATCCTACCCTTAATGCCTTTTTTTAGGGATCAATTACCTGTTAAAAGCCTTTTCTCCCAGTATTTGGGGTCAGGATTCCCATACCTTCTGGTGGCATCACAAGCAAACCTCTAGAACCCAAATACTCACTTGATTATCCCCCTTGGTTACAACCGATAATGCTAAAAATAACTTACTTGCTAAACTTACTAAAATAATGATTTGCACTGTGATACAGAACCTGTGTTTTATAATATTGAAAATTATAGTTCATGGTCTTCATTTCTACACGGCAATTGTTTTTATTAATAATAATTTAGCTTACACACATCTTAATATTAGGTCAAATGCTACTCGAGATAAGTATTTGTAAATTCTGACTGTGTGTGCATCTAGGTTATCCTTGGTGAGGTTGTGTCCTGTGGGAAAAGACTAGCAAGTGGTAATTACTGGGTTTATATATTATCTATTTCATAGAGAGAGGGAAACACTATAATACTCCAGAGCCTCTGATTCCTGAGCCTTCACAACAGGGTTAATAATACCCAGCTGTCTCCCTGGAGATCACAGAGTCGATGTGAAGCCTCATTAAGATGCTTCACTCCACTCCTCCTTAGAAGAAAGGAATACAGTGTGTTTGTAGGCACCCGAAGCTTCCTAGTCTCACCTTTTGTCAAGGTTCATTTAGGTTCATCAGCAAGAAGGTACTTTAGTTGAAGTCTATGGCTGCAGAGCACAGTATATCACCTTCCATGTTTAAATAGATTCTACACGTCTGTTAGCAGCTGTCTTTAAATGAGTAGCTTAAGGGGAGAGTCTTCGTAAATGGGCCAAGGGGCATGAAGAAGAGTGAAGGCAAGAATGAAAGCTTAAGAAACTGGTCTGGAAGTCAGGCGGTGGTGGCGCAAGCCTTTAATCCCAGCACTTGGGAGGCAGAGGCAGGAGGATCTCAGTGAATTCAAGACTAGCCTGGTCTACAAAGCGAGTTCCAGGACAGCCAGGTCTGTTACACTGAGAAACCTTGTCTCGAAAAACTATATATATATATATATATATATATATATATATATATAGAGAGAGAGAGAGAGAGAGAGAGAGAGAGAAATTGAGATCTGAACTGTCATGTCATTTTCCTAGTTTCACCCAAAGACTCATAAGTATAGTGAATCCCAAATATCCCTTCCAATTCACAGGAGAGCACCTGGCCCACTCAGGTACGGAACTCCTTAGGTTCAGTTTCTTGGTTCTGAGAAGGGCCTGTGAGGACCTTGTACACCGTAAGACAAACCAGTGTCTTCTTTCTAAACTCAGAAAAGAGCAGAGAAATAAGAGACACAGTGGACCACGTTCCCCTGCTGGAACTCTGAGCTGTCTAAGGGTTTACTGAAGAATATCTGAGAGGAGACCATTCCTCCATCGTGGAGTTAGGGACCTGGCTAAAGTCCTGTGTAGCATCCTTGAAGCCACCACCCCAAGAGGCTGATACATTGTATAAGTACCAATCTGGATCTTTTTCACCAGTCACTCTAGTACTACCGGTGGGCGAAGCGACATCACAGTTTCATCTGAGTGGGCCAAAGAGAATTTCAGGGTTCACACCACCTCGCTCCAGACAGTCCGGCACCATGCTCTGCCCCCTCATGAGTTAAAGCGCAGTGCTTCGCAGGGACTGTTCACCAGCAAACGCCCCACCCCTTATCTGCACCTACTTGGTCCCTAAACTGCAAAATCTAGGTCCTTTATTTGTGTCATCCCAACTCTCACCTGCACCTGACCCGCCCCTTATCTGTCTAGGAGTTGTTCCTCATTACCAAAATTCCACCCCCTCGTCTGCACGTTTTCCCCCAGTACCTCCTCTAGCCAGGCACAAACTTGCCCAAGTACCATTCGCCAGCACACGCTCCGCCCCTACTTGCCTACGCTGCCTTCCAAACCCACAGAACGCCCTTCATTAGCTAATGCCCCGCTTCTATTTCTTGGGACTGGTCTTTGCAGCAAAGCTCCCCATCACTTGCCATTCCCCGTCCCTTCCCAGCTCTGCTTCCTCCTCGCCCTCCTCCCACCGGTCCTCCTCTGCGGCCCGCCCATCACCCGCCCCTCACCTCGCTCCGACCCACAGCAGGAGGAACCGCCTTCCTCCCCTCCAGCCTATTACAGAAGGCATTTCCATTCCGCTTGTCCAATGAGAGTCTCGAGGTTGCTCCCCGCCCCGCGCCGTGCGTCAGGTTAAAGGCAGTCCCCCACACTGGACCCACGCTGGTCACATGCCATGTGGCGCCTCAGCGGTCGTCGGGGATTGTGCGCGGTACAGCGACTGAGCTGCGGGTGAGACACGGCGGGTGGCATCAGCGGATAGGGAGGGGCGGGACCGGTACAAGAGGTTTCTGGGTCTCTGCCATCTCTGGGCACGGGTGACAGCCCTCTCTGGAGCTCCTGCATCCCAAAATTTCTTGTAGGTGCCTCAGGTACCAAAAAAACCACTTCTGAGCTCTCCAAACCATGCATCCCTACTTCCTACGTCCATCAGAGCCTCTAAAGTAGTCCTGCCCTTCGGCGCGTGTCAGAGCATGCTCTCCCTAAGAAGCTGCTGTCCTAGCTCGAGTTGGGGTGACACCGGTACTCCAAAGGGGAACCAGGTTCAGGTCACTGTCCTGACCCACTTTCCCTTCTTGGACCTTTGGTGTTCCGAGAGCGAGTGGGTGGTCCTGAGTGTAGTTACTAAGGCTGTTTGAAGTAAAGCTAGGCTTTGATGTGGATTTTAACTGTCTAATTAATAATAGAGGCAGTTTATGGCTCTCATTAATAGATTTGCGCCCATCTCATTTTTGTTACGAGGCAGAGTCCTTTAGGGCTCCTCCACAAGCTGCAGTGTTCATAAAGTTGTGCCTCCTGGAGTCGAACATTTTGTAGCGACTCAATTAATAGAAAAGTAAAGATGTATTTAAAAAGTGTTTGACTTTTATTCTGATCCAAACCCTTATTTTATAGTGCTGCCAAACCCCTGTTAGTCTAGGTGAGGAAACATGGGGGTGTGGGTTTTCTGTGAGGGTGTGGGCGTTAGGAGTGTTTGAACTTGATAGCAGCCGTTTTATTTGTGAATGCAGTGACCAGAATGTAAAAAGAGTGAGCCATCCTACCTGGCCTTTTGTCTCTCAGTGTTGTCTTGCAGATCCTGTTCTGATGACCAACTGTTTCTTAAACTTTCTACCCACAATCTAGAATTTGCTGTCAGATAGGAAAACCAGTTGATTTTAGCATGTCTTCCTGCTTCTGCCAATGACTGAATTGGAGGGGTTTTTTATTATTGTTGTTTTCTTTTCCTTCTGTAATATAACCTTTAAAAGGGATATTTCTGAGATTTTAATAGTAAAAACTTCATAAAACGTACAGTTTGATATAAAAACTATTTTAAATGATGTTGTCATTACTTGTCAAGATTGCCCTGACAGCCGGGTGGTGGTGGCGCACACCTTTAATCCCAACACTGGAGGCAGAGGCAGGCGGATCTCTGTGAGTTCGAGGCCAGCCTGGTCTACAGAGCTAGTTCCAGGACAGGAACTAAAGCTACAGAGAAACCCTGTCTCGAAAAAGAAAAAAAAGATTGCCCTGACAAGACTATAACTCTTCATCATTTTTGGGTAGTCATTTCTCCCAGACTAAAAATTTATTTGCTTTTTATCTTTTTATTATCCATGTACATTCCTACACTAAATGTATCTGCTCACATGATAGTTGTGTACTGTCTTTTCCAAAGTCCTTGTGCTTTTAAAACAGATGGAGCATAGCTAGAAACTAGTCTTTTAGAAATGTCCAAGATCTTGGAAGATTCAGGGTACAGGTCCCCTTCACTTAGTTATCTGTATCCCGAGGGTTATTTATATATATTTCACTGCGGTACTTAACCAAACGACTTTCCAGGACGTTCACTAACTCTAACACCCTTCCTTTAAACTCCGCAGAGCGCACCACAAAGTGTGGAGGGGGAGGAGTGATCAAGCCTGTGAACGAGCTCTGCAGTATAAAGTGGGCGAAAAGATCCACGGCTTCACCGTCAAGCAGGTACCCACCCACCCATCCACCTTGCCACATTCTTTATGAATCGAGGTTGGTATACATTCTGCCGGCCGATGAGAGCTTGCAGAGAAGAGACTGCGGTTTCTGTCCTTGCCTCGCCAGGGCCTGGCAAGCTTCCTGACTCATGGCAGGTGCTCCAGGTGGCTTCCACATGAAATGATGGCCAGACCTTAATTGTACCCTTTAAAGCCTCAATCATTTCAGATATGAGAAAATGACCCTCACCTCCACTACCAAAGGAGGGCCTTTGTAGTCAGATACACTAACATGTCTGCAGCCAAGCCTGATCATTCCCTGTGATGACTACAGATGCTGCTTGCTGTTCCCTTCATCTCCTCCTTTACACTCTGTCATCAGTATACTGCCTCTAGACTTGCATGGAACCCTTTCTAGCTGTTTTTCTTGGAATTATAAAGAAGAGATGGTACACCAGTATTTACTTAATTTACATTAAAAATAGGTTTCACTGGTTCTTTTTCTTGTCTTTATTTTTTACTTTTAGGTTCAAACCTTCATATTACTTTTTTATTTATTGTAATTATTGAAAAATTTGAGCTGAGCATGTCGCTTAGTTGGTAGAATCCTTGTCAAGGATCCAGTAAGCCATGGGTTTGATCCCTAACACCATGTGAAAACCTGTTTGGTGGTATAGACCCATAAATGAACAGCAGAGACAGGAGGAGGATAAGTTCCCGGTCATTTTTGGATATTTAGCAAGTTCACAGCAACCTGGAATACCCTGTTTTGTATATATCCTGTCTTAAACACATACACATATGAAAGAAAATTCCACACGTCAAGTTTTTGGTCCCAGGCTTTATACTGTGCTTGTATTTAACAAATACAAGAAGGCAGAACCTTTAAACTAGAAAGCTGCATGCGGCTGCAGCAAAAACCAGAATCTGATAAGCATGAAGAAGTAAGCAAGGCCAGTGAAACTGGAGCACTAGTTCCGGGATAGGTCTTGGCATGATGAGTCACACAAGTGGGGTGAAAGCATTGTGAGCTCCCTGAAAGGCCACAAGAGGAATCCGATTTTGTAATACAAGTTGCTGGTAATGAAGACCTGGTTCAAATTGCTGTGATCTTTTCCTTACGTTTCAAACAAAAGAGAAGCAAGGAAGAAATGGTAATTCTTGTTTGAAAATAGTTCCCCTGAGCTGTGGTTGGGCAGGCATCACAGTACCTCCTGGTTTTAAGTACACTCTCGTCTATTTGAGTAAATTCAGAAACCTGAAATCAGCTGGATTTACACAAATATCAAGAGCCGAATTTATTCTTGTCATCTGTGTATCAGGGCCCCTAAGTTTGCATTAGGAGACTTGGTTTTAACTATAGTTCTGCCAGGAACTTCCTGTAGAGAAAAGAGAAGGATAAGGGTATAGCTATCATAGTATGGATGGTTTGTGACTGAATGAAAGAGGACCAGCTGATGTGAGTGTGTGACAGGATGCTGTATGTGTGCATGCACGCTTGTGCATGTGCATGCATGTGTGTGGATGTACGCATGTGTGTGTGCCACACACAGACGAGAACAGAGGCTGGCTCTCCTGGCTTGTTGAAGGCAGCCGTGCTGCGTCGGTGTGCTTGCTCACACTGCCCTTCTCTCCTCAGGTCACTCCTGTCCCTGAACTGTTCCTGACAGCGGTAAAGCTCAGCCATGACAATACGGGAGCCAGATACCTGCACCTGGCGCGGGAGGACAAAAACAACTTATTCAGGTGTGTGCTCCTTTGAAGAGTTTGTTCTTGAATGTCTGTCTAACACGTGTGCCATCTGTCCTGAAATGCTATGGAACAGTGTCCCTTTCTGGGCATAATGGCCCGTCAGTAAACCTAGTACTAGGGAAACAGAAGCAGGAGGATTGCTGTAAGTTCTAGGTGGGGCTAAGCTACATAGTGAGTTCCAGGCCGGGTTCAGCTGTAGAGCAAGAATCTTTTTCTACCTCTTCTCAAAAAGGAAGAGTGTATGAATTCATCTAAAGATTCTATCATCTAGATACAGTGCAATTTTACAGTATGACTCAGTGATTCATACATTATAGTCTTTAGCAAAAGACTGAGATAGGAGAATGATTTTTAAAGATGCAGGGTGGCCACAGGTTCCGGAATTCTGTTAGAGAATCTTAGGGTAACCTCTCCTCACCTGTTCGTCGTCTTTCCTTGCCCTCAGTGTCCAGTTCCGGACGACCCCGATGGACAGCACTGGAGTCCCCCATGTTCTTGAGCATACAGTCCTCTGTGGTTCTCAGAAGTATCCATGCAGAGATCCTTTCTTCAAAATGCTCAACAGGTCATTGTCCACATTTATGAATGCCTTCACAGGTAAGACTGATGTCCTGAATCAAATCATGTTTGCCCTATCATATTTTAGTAGGTGAATTAAATTATTTTCCAAGAGAAAAAGAGCCATTAATATAGTAGAGTAATTTTTGTAACTCCCTAGACTAGGTGAAAGATGCTAGAAACTCAATTGTTTTGGGAAAGCTACATCTTGGTTTAATTATAGAAATGGGAGTACTAGCTACTGGGGAGGTGGCTCAGTTGATAAAGTGCTTGCCATGAGCACAAGGACCTAACTTCAAAACTCCAGCACCCACGTGAAAGCCAGGGGCAGTGATGTGTACCCATAATCCTACTGCAGGAGAGGTGGAGGCAGGAGGAGCTTTTGTCTTTTCTAGCCAGTTAATCTAGCTGAATTGGTGAGCTCTGCGTTCAGTGTAAGACCCTGTGTTACAATGTAAGGTGCAGAGTGATTGACAAAAGTACCAGCCTTAACCTCTGGCCTCTTTAGTCACGCAAGCACATGTGTGCATACACCTAAGCACACAAGCACACACACACACACATGTATGTACACACACAGTTAATAAGTAAGTAAATGAAAACTGCAGTTTTAGAACAACGGTATGGGAGGGGTTTTTTTTTTTTTATAAAGTTCAAAACAAATTTGGAGATAGCCCTGTAGCATCTGCAAGACTGTGTAGTTAAATCAGTCAATCAGTCTTATCAATTAAACCAGTGGAGCATCCCATGTCAAGCAATTGATCAAAGGAAAGAAAAGGTCACTGAAGAGTTGGTGCTAGTGTCTGTTCAGAGAAGACATTGGGGTTCGGGAAAGGTTAAGGCTCCAAGTGATGAGCTGGGTGGAAATGCCAAGTGCAGGGTTTTCCCTTCTGTTTCAACGAGGGTTAAATACTGGAGGGTGTTAAGAAGTGACACATTTCCAGAGACATTTCATATGTTTTAAAATCTGTCTCTTCTTTTCTCCCTAGCTAGCGACTATACGATGTATCCGTTCTCCACACAAAATCCCAAAGATTTTCAGAACCTCCTTTCAGTGTATCTGGATGCGACTTTCTTCCCATGCTTGAGGGAACTGGACTTCTGGTATGCAAGGATTATTGTTTGATTTGGGCTTTAATATTCTGCTCAGCACCGCTTTTTATTTATCCACCTACTGTTTATTTAGGCAGGAAGGATGGCGTCTGGAACATGAGAATCCAAGTGACCCTCAGTCTCCCTTGATCTTTAAAGGAGTCGTCTTTAATGAGATGAAAGGGGCGTTTGTAAGTGTTCTTCCTCATTTCTACTGCATTATAATTATCTCTGTTTAAAAAAAAAGGATTTATTTGTATGTATCATGTTCATGGTATACAGGCTCTAACATACCATGGTACGTGTGGAGGGCAGAGGGCAGCATAAGGTGTTGGTCGTCACCTTCCACCTTGTTTAAGGTGGGCTCCCTTGTTTTTCACACCAGGCAGTCTGACCATTGAACATCCACATATTGTCCTTTTTCCATATCCCATCATGCAGTGGGAGTTCTACGTTTACAGAGGGTCGCTAACACATCCAGCTTTATGTGTGTTCTGGGGATTTGAGCTCAAGTCATCATACTTTTGCACCAAATTGTTTAACCACTCAACACCCCTTCCTCCTCCGTCACCAGCCCACCTTTCTAAAATTTTGAAATGTATATGCACATGAAATCTGAGAGACCTGTGGTTATTTAATATTCTCCTAACACCTTCAGTTGTGTGGTGTCAGTACTGAGAGCAGAACCCTTTGGTGGTAGGAGGGCCAGGTCTCATTACACATGACCTGGAATGTGAAGGCCTGCCCTGGCCAGCTTACTCTTTCGGAAGCACATGGGATGTTTGTATATACCAGGACCATCTCTGATTCTTGCGGCCTCTGTATAGCAAATTTGTTTTTATACTCCAGTTGCTATCATTTTGTTCATGATATCCATGGTAGTAACATCCTTGTGTCTGTATAGTTCGTGGCCCAACGAATTCTTGCACATCCATCAGTTGCTCACCATTCCCTTCTCTCTGACTTCACACTGCGCTTCTAAGAGAGCCAGCCCTGGGGTCTACAGTTTATGAAGAACTTGGATGCTAAATTAAACTGCACCCCTGTGGATTGTAGGTGGCATTGGCGTTTGATTTACATTACATTTTCATTAACTTACTTCTTTTCAATTTCAAGACAGACAATGAGAGGATATTCTCCCAGCACCTGCAGAACAAGCTTCTTCCTGACCATACATACTCTGTGGTCTCGGGCGGGGACCCACTGTGCATCCCAGAGCTCACGTGGGAGCAGCTGAAAGAGTTCCATGCGACTCACTATCACCCAAGCAATGCCAGGTAGTGTGGAGGGTAGAGTTTGGATGGTGGACCAATAGTTGACTTGCTTGCCTTCCTACGGTTCTTGCATTAAGTAATGTGGCTTCTCATTGAAGGAAAATGTGTTTGCTGAAAAGATTCATAGCTCTGGGTAAGATCGTGTTGCTTTAGTTCTCCTATAGCCTAAACTGAGGCCTCACTGTCAACATCCACAGCCGTAACTGTCACTTGGCAGCATTTAGTGGTTACAAACCACCTTTACAGTCACCTCTGCTGGAGTCCCAACTTCCCGCCCTGGTCCATGTCACGGTCTTATTACATATAGATTGTGAGTCATGGTGTCCACTCTAGAATTAATGTTCACCATATTCAAGAAGCCTTCTGTCTGTTGTCTTTGGCAGACTGAGTGCTCTGTATAGTGAATAAATGATATAATTGAATTTTATTTTTTGTTGTTCTTTTGCTCATTTGGTTAGTTATGTATATATTTGTGCATATTGATTGTTTGGTTTGGTTTGCCTTTTGAGACAAGGTCTCGCTGTGTAGCTCTGGCTGGCCTGAGATTCGCTATGTAGATCAGGTGGCCTCAGACTCACGGAGATCCACCAGCTTCTGCCTACTAAGTGCTGGGATTTAAAGGCTTATGCCACCATACCAGGCTAATAATTGAACTTTAAATGGCAGCTTCTAATAGAAAAGAAAGATTGCCACTATCGTTTGTAGCCTTTTCTCGTGATGATTACATAAGTGCATTATATTAAAAACATGCAGTCTGGTAATTGTAGCCTAATGCTGAATTTTATGAATTTCTTATTTTGGACTGCCAGTCTTAGATACATTCTAATATACATTGCATGCCATAGCAGCTTATTTGGTTTTTGCAATGCCTTTATAGCAGGTTCAAAATAAAATTAAATAAATTTTTGTTGCATTTAACTAAGTCCTCCTATGTGCTGTGTGGTTAGACTATCTCAAAGCAAAAATTAATCCCTCTATGTAGTTCCCATTCATGGGGAGATTACCTGTTATTGTTACAAGGTATATATATATATACCTCGCATCCTCCGTCTCATGCAAAATCCTTCCATGTTGATTCCTGTTCATTTCAAGCAAATAAGGTGCTATGCTCCCTGGAATTCCCAGGTTCTTCACGTACGGCAACTTTCCGCTGGAACAGCACCTGAAGCAAATTCATGAAGAGGCCCTGAGTAAATTTCAGAAAATGGAGCCTAGTACAGCCGTGCCGGCCCAGCAGCACTGGGACAAGCCTGTGAGTGCCCCATCCACTCTTTGTCAGTGTTCTTATCTTGCCTGTTAAATGTACTGAAACAAAGACGAGGATGACGTCGTGCTCATATATTGAGAGTTATCTTAGGATCTTCTGTGTTTCTAAGCTTTCCAAGGCTAAGATTGTGGTTATTTGTTAGACGCTAAGTTACTGCCAAGGGTTTGACCTGTCCAGATGACCTATGGCTGGTCCATGCTCAGTGCCTGCCTAAAGCATCATGTCATTTTGCAGAGAGAATTCCATATAACATGCGGCCCAGACTCGTTAGCTACGGATGCCTCTAAGCAAACTACTGTCAGCGTTAGCTTCCTCTTACCAGAGTAAGTATGTGTCGTAAGTATATGCTGGCGGACAGCAAGAAAATAGGCGGATTAGAAGGCTAGATAGTTCACCAATCGGGAGGGATTTAATGGACAGGTAGGACGATCCGGGAATCCAGCACTTTTTAGCAATAGAGAACAAATGCCAAGTTTTTAATAATATCAGAAATGGGGTTGGGACAATCAATTCTGCCAGTCAATCAAGGGAAAATTATTTTCTTATTGTATATACATACACACACATGTTCACACAGAGTTCAATCTGGCTTGGAACTGACTTACTAGCTAAGGATGACCTTGAACTTCAGCTCTTCCTGCTTACAATAAGTATGTGTCACCACCGCTGGTCTTTAATGTAGTGCAGGGAAATGCACCCAGGGTCTCGTGCATGCTAGGCAAGTACTCTACCAGCTGACCCACCTTCTCTACTTAGTATATATTAATGTGAATTGATTCAATAAAATTAAATACTTCCACAAAAGAGGCTGCTTTTAATTGTTTAGCTTTTGGGGGTTCACTGGTCCGCTCCAGGGGTAAGTGCCCCGTGAACGTTATCCTCGGGAGAATGTGCCACAAACAAGACTTTGCAACTAGAGATTTACTGAAGAGCAACATCAGATTCATGCCCTACAGAGCTCTTCAGAAAGGAAGAACAGAGCTCTTTTACCCAACCCGAGCTCTGGCCGCTGCCTGTAGCTCCCGTCTCTTACAGTGCTGATATGGTCCTGTTGCCAAACCTGCAGTATTTCAAAAGACATGGCAGTCCATCTTGTGGTAACATTTGATGTGACACCAAATTAATTTGTCGGTTCTGAGCTCCCCCACCTCATATAATTATTAAAGTAAAAATTCAGGAATCTTCAGTAGAAATTAGGCTTGATTGGAGATGCAGGTACTAATTTAAGAGTGGTTTCGAATAACTTTAAAAGCTCTTAGGGCTATAGAAATGGCTCCATCAGGAACATGCTTACTATGTAGGCAGGGGGACCTAAATTCAATCCGAGAACTTTAAACTGGGTATGGCGACACAAACTTGTAATCTAAGTGCCCGGGGCAGGGAGTGAAGATAGACAGATCCTCGGGTCGCTGTCCAGCCAGCCTAGCAGGGTCAGAAATTCCTGGTAAAAATAAAAGAGCCTGTCTGCGAAAGCAAGCTGGATGGCACCCAAAGATTGACTCATGAGGTTGTGTCGTGTGTACATGAGCAGCTACAAACACGTATAAATATGTTTACACACACATCTTAAAAAGGAAAATGTGGGTCAGGTGCTGATAGTTCATGCCTTTAATTCCAACACTCAGTAAGCAGAGGCTGTTGTTGTATCTCTATGAGTTCAAGGCCAGCCTGGTTTATGGAGCGAGTTCCAGGACAGATTCCAAAGCTACAAAGAGAAACCCTGTCTCGAAAAACCAAGAAAAAGAAAGAAAGAAAGAAAGAAAGAAAAGAGTATGTGTGTAGCCACCAGCAATTTCCCCTTGTGTTCCCTTCTTACCCACCCTCACTTATTCTTCCCCCCATGAAGCATCACTGACACCTTTGAAGCCTTCACGCTGAACCTTCTGTCTTCCCTCCTGATTTCTGGGCCTAATTCCCCCTTTTACAAAGCTTTGATTGAATCTGGACTCGGCACAGACTTTTCCCCTGATGTTGGGTAAGTTGCATTTCTTCCGTTGGATTTGGTTGACTTGCTTGGGACATTGGTTTGACTTATTGTTATGGATAGGATTTAATGTTGTTGAGGGGTGGGTGATTTGGTTGGTTTGGTGGAAACTGACATGATTGATACAGTTAATTTGATTGATTGACCTGATAATTTAATTGACTGACTGATTTGCCCAGGTTGGCCTTGCATTTTCAGTCTTCCTGCCTCAGTCTTTGGGGTAGCTGGCACTATAGGCTTGTTTGTGTTACAAGGCCTGGATTTATTGGCATTTTACCCCAGTACCTCTTACTTTGTGTCTTAAAATTCATTATCATTAAGTATTCCTTAAAATTCTAAGTTATTATCAAACTCAGCAGTTTACTGTTTGTAGGATTATTTTTTCATAATGCAGATAGGCTATGATTGTGCATTTGACTAGAAGTGTCTGAGAGCATTGCTTTGGTACTTTGCTTTAATGCATTCTTCAGTGGGATCCTGAGTCAGATGTCTTTAGGTGATATATCAGGAAGGTACATCACAAACGAAAGTACTTGGCTGATGCATTGTTTGCTTTTGTGTTCTAGATACAATGGCTACACGAGGGAGGCTTACTTCAATGTTGGCCTCCAAGGGATTGCTGAGAAAGATGTCAAGACCGTCAGAGAGATCATAGACAGGACAATCGAAGAAGTTATTGAGTATGTGCGAGGGTCCTGGTGACCTGCTTCCGTCCTTTCTTCATGCGTGTCCTGCAGGACGGAGACTGAGCCATCCCCACTGCAGGCACTGCCAACCTCCTCTCAGTATAACGTGTGACATGTGCTACTTCAGTTTAGTTATTTATATATTTGATTTATATTCTGGGTATTTTTAGCATACACAGTAATGGATGGTGTGACATTTTCATGTGTGTGTATGTGTGCATATGATTTGTTCTTGCTGTCCCCCATCTTTATGCCCCACCCCTTTCTCCTTCCTTCCCTATTTAGTTCGCCCTTATATGTCACTTGTTTGTTTCAGTATTACCGCTGCCACCGCTTGCTTCCAAGACCTCTTTCTTCACAGCATCTCACTTGTTATTTGGGTGTTTTTAGGAAAGGATTTGAAGATGATCGGATTGAAGCTTTACTTCATAAAATCGAAATCCAGATGAAGCATCAGTCTACCAGCTTTGGCCTGGCGCTGACGTCAGTATGTGATCTTGTTGCTACTGCTACTTTCCCTTTTTGTTTCGATTTTGGTTTTATAACTAATAACTCTTTCTGAGTTTTTTTTAATTGATGTATTTTATTTTTATTTGAAACAAGTCGTGCCATGTAGCCCAAGCTCAGTTCTCTTTCAGCATCCTGGATGCCAGGGTTATGGTGTGCACCATGATGTTCCCCAGAATTGTAGTTCTTGACAGTACTGAATATATTGACGAGCATTGATAATTAATTATTTATTTGAGCTTTGAAACAATGCAAATATGTTCATGATTTAGTTTCAAATCATTTACAAATATACTTATAATTTAGCTTTTCTTTCCTTTTAAAGATGTTTTTAAGTGTACGTGTAAGGGTGAATGCCTATGAGAATTTATGTGCGCTGTGTGCATGCAGGAGCCGTTGGAGGCCAGGAATGGCACTGGATCCCCTGGGAACTGAACGTGGGTCTTCTGTAAGAGTAGTAGTTGTCTTTACCACTGAGCTGCCTTGCAGTTCTTTTCATTATTCTTGAATTAGCTTGTTTAATTGGCTTTTAGTCTTGTTCTCTTTTGTTTGCCTGTGCATATGTATGTAAGTGTGCAAGTGAATGTGTGTACGAAGGTGTGTGTGTGTGAGTCTAGATGTCTATGTGGAAATCTGGGGGGCAATATCAGATGTTGCTCCTCAGCTACTCTCCACCATTTCTTTCTTAAGACAGGGTCTCTCTCTGGCCTCTCACCAAGTAGGTGAGACGGCCTGGCAATGAGCCGTAGGAACCCACCTCTCTCCACCTTCCCGACATGTAGCACCAGGCTTGGCTTTCATCTTTTTCATATGGGTCCTGGAGCTCAAGTACTTGCACAGCAAGTACTTCGTCATCTAAGCTATTTCCCCAGCCCCTTGATTGGCTGTTTAGGAATATTGTGTTCTTACATGAAATAGATTTAGGCTACTAGGGATTGAACCCAGGGCCTTGAACATACCAGACAAGTACTGCACAAACTGAACTATGTCCCCCCTCCTCACCATGATGTGTCTAAGTAGACACTGGTATCATAATAGACTGTCAACCTTTGGTGCTTACTGGGGCCGCCTAGTTTTTCTGAGGTGATAACACTGCCTGGATATTTAAATTTCTTTGTTGTAGTATATAGCCTCTTGCTGGAATCATGACGGGGACCCCGTGGAGCTCCTGCAGATGGGAAATCAGTTGACTAAATTTAGGCAGTGCCTTAAGGAAAATCCAAAATTTTTACAAGAAAAAGTAGAGCAGTATTTTAAGGTAAGAAAACTGGAGAAACTTTTGTTTATAACTCGGTAGTTAGAGTTCAAGATATTGAAAAATACGAAGTTATTGAAATATGTGAACTTAAGATCATAATTTATGTAAGTTTCTGTTATTAAATTATGTGTGTATGTATGCATATGTAATAAGAAATACATGTGCTTACATGCATTAAATTCTGCTTTCTAGATTATAGTACATGTTCAGCACTTAGTTCGTTACAGTAATATTTAAGTATAGAGTGAATTATCAATGCCTGATTCCTTCTTTCTAACAAGTTGTACTTGGCTGTGTATTTTCTGTTGTACTCTGCTTAATTACTGAGAGTCACACTGTTACCTGTTTTGAAAGATAGCTTTCTCGTAAGAATTGCCATTGATTGGGACAAGGAATGTGATCATTTAACCAATGATTTCTGTGTCCTGTATATACCCCTCATACACACTTCGAGTCTTGGCATACACACCCAGGCTAGTTTCTCGGCCTCTCTGTCTCTCTCTTCCTCTTGAGTATTGGGATAACAGGCAAGTCCACCGCATCCAACTCTTGGGAGTTCTTACTGTATACTAATCCACAGGCCTCCCTTTGCTGAACGTCATATACAGATGCTTCACTGTTGAGGTAAATAACAGAAGCATGCTAAGAACATCTGCTATTTTTCCTGTATATTTGGTCAACATCTGGTTTGTTCACTTACTTTATAAACTGATGAATTGTTAAGTATTGTGTCAGAGGTGGACATGGTAGCCCATGCCTGTCATCCCAGCACTGGGAAACAGAGGCAAGAGGATCAGGAGTCCAGGGTCATCCCTGGCTGCTTAGAAAGTCTGAGGCCAGCCTGAGCTACCTGAGACCCTGTCTCAAGGCAAACAAAAGATTATAGCTCTAACCCTTCGGAAATTCATAGTACTAGATAAAAATTAAATTTGAGTTCTCTTATCTCTAAAATAATTCAGAATATTAGAAAGTACAGGTTTTCTTTACACCCAAGATGTACATTTTGGGAAAGACAATGGTTACAGTTGGCCCAATGGTAGTAATAGCACCTATGGCTCCTGTGCTGACTGACCCTATAGCAGGTATGGCTGCAAGTGTTTTAGATGGCCTCTGTGCTCATAGCTGCCCGGCAGCCCCAGTGAAATTCTTGCTATCTGAGAGGTGGATAAACAGAACTGTAGACCCAGGTGCGCGCTGCTCTTGGATGTTCTAATTCATTTGGATTTCATTTCACTCAATTGTGTTTTAATCTGGGTTGTTGTTGCCATGGTGCCGGCAGAACAATCAGCATAAGATGACTTTATCCATGAAACCGGATGACAAATATTATGAGAAACAAACACAAATGGAGACGGAAAAGCTAGCGCAAAAGGTGAATTCTCTCTCCCAGGCGGACAAGCAGCAGATCTATCAGAAAGGTCAGCGGGGTTGGGGTGACGCGGCTTACTTGATTTGATGTGATGCATCTGATTCTCATTATTGGCCTGATATTTCTGGAGCATGAACTCAGGGTGCTGTGTGAGCTGGGCAATGCATTCCCGCTAAGCTCTGTCTCTAACCTCTTCACTGTTTATTTTGAGATAAAAATTTAACACTGCCGCTGGGTAGCTGGGATTATAGGCTTGTGCCTGCAAGCCTGGGAATGCAATTAATTATATCAGTAGTTCTCAAATGAAAGCCACTGTGCCTGTCTTCCCCTACACCCCCCCCCCCCAAAAAAAGGAACCCAGTACTTGACAACAGGACAGTTCTGCTTGTTTTAAATGCCATACATGTGTCTTAATGCTTGCACTTTCTCCACCCTCCATACAAGCTAGTTAACTTTTCCTCCTACTTGTTAGAGGCAAGGTATTTTTTGGACACCTATAGACTTACAGATGTGTCATAATGGGTTCTAACCATGACATTTGGCCATATCAGAAAATTCACATTATGGATCATTCGTTTCAGTTCCCAGTTCCAGGTTATAGGCCATCCATCATAGGGAAGTTCAGGTGGCAGGAACGTGAGCAGCTATCACCACACATCCCAGAGTCCAGATCAGAGTGCAGAGAATACGTGCATGCCCGCTAGCCTACTTGCTTGTGCGCAGCTAGCTTTCTTCATTATTATGCAATTCAGAGCCCAGCTCATGAAGTGGTCCCACCTACATCAGGACAGGTCTTCCTACCTCCATTAGTTCTTTTAAGTCAGTCCCTCTCAGAGATTCCCAAGTCCAGCCTGGATCGATGGTTCTTCATTGAGACTCCGGTGATTCCAAATTGTGTCAAGTTAAAACTTAAAGTAGAACAGTAGCATGAGACGTTAATGATGCTCATGTCACAGAGGTGTCCCCTTCTGTCCAGAGTCTCTGCAGAGCTCTTCCATAGGCACAGTGCTGGTGCCTTTCATGGTTGCTTCCTGTGGTGGGTTTTACGGCCTGAGCGTCAGTATTTGGAACCTCTAGGTTAAAGTCCAGTCAGAAGATGCCCGGCAATGGGAAAAGATTTATTAAGTCGACATCAGTGTTTTTGGTGTCTGACTGCCATGAGAGACTGAAGTCCTTACCATGAGGGACCTTTTGATTAGAGGAAAGGAAAAAGAAAAATAGCTGAGTGTTTCAAATATCACTATGAGTGTACGCCAGCAAGGGCAGTTGGGGTGCCGGGGTAGTTGCAGGCTGTTGCATTGACATCAGGTGGCCTAGACACCATGTGGCAGGCACATTATGTGCTTGGATGATCAGGTCCTATCTTCCTGTGGCCTTGGCGGCTCACTTTGGATCTTATAGAATGAAGAATAGTAGACCAAGAGCATAAAGCCCTGAAACTTTTTCGGTCAGCGCTTTGTTTGCTTTTCATTTTCACTTTTTTTTTTCTTCCTCTTTAGGTTTAGAATTACGAACGCAGCAAAGTAAACCTCAAGACGCCTCCTGTCTCCCAGCACTGAAAGTCTCTGACATTGAGCCCATCATGCCTTTCACCAAGTTTGACATCGCCCTCGCAGGTCACTATCAAGTCCTTCTCGTGGGTGCCTGGGTTCTTTGACTGCATTAAGAAACAGTTTGCAAACAGGCTGGGTCACATTTTAGATGTTTTCCAGAAAACGTCGGAGTGAGCAACTTGTTTATATAGCCCTGCTGTTTATTGTTTATTATTTATTATTATTGTTTGATTTGTGCATGTGTGTGTATACATGGATACATTTATGTGTGCGTGTGCCCATGGGCATGCTCGCCCATGTGCATGTGTGTGCGTGCATGTGTATGCTTGTGTGTGTGTGCTTGCTTGTGTATGTGCATGTGTGTGTATATGCATTTATGTGTGTGTGCGTGTGTGTGTGTGTGTGTGTGTGTGTGTGTGTGTGCAGGGGCCAAAGTTTATTCTTGTGTCTATCTGCTCACGTAAAATTTACCTGTTTTTCAAGATGCTGTCACCAGTGTCGCTCACTGGGACTTAGGATTTTGCAGTTCAGCTAGGCTGGTGAGCTGTCTCCATCTTCCAGCTTGGGTTCACCAGTGTGCACCTCCACTCCTGGCTCCTTTTTTTAAAAAAGGGATTGTGAGGATCAAACTCAAGCCCTTCTTTGTTTTCACCTACTGAGCTTTTCTCCAGTCCTTGTGAATTAAGAAGCTTTGTTTCTTTCTGGAAGTAGATTTGATGGTGTCGAGGAAATTGGTTGAATTCGGACGGGCTTTTGAAGACTGTAGGAATCCTCTGGGCCCTTCCCTCTTTAGCTTGGCTGTCAACATGGGAGAGGATGTATAGGGAAAAATAGTTATGTACTGAGGAGTTACAGAGAAAGGACAGGGTCTGGGGGTGCTCTTGGCCTCCTGTCTCACCGCTAGAGATCTCAGAATTGCTGTTTTCCTCTGCTTGTGGTTGGTGGCATGAGAGACAATTGTCTCTGGAATAGCATTTCCCTGGAAGGTGTTACCGCGTGACCTTGTGAGTGGCCAGGGTAGTTTCTTATTGATTGAGAGGTTGGGCTTTACTGTGCATTGTGGCTGATGGGATGGGATTCATCTGGTTTGATTTTGGAACCAGGAGCCTGCTATATGCTGGGCAAGCACTGCCTGCCATCCCCGGGGTAGAAGCGCTGTTCCCTGTGAGGCATCTCTGACCTGCCTTGCCTATTTTAACAGTGATTTTCTCACTTACCATGTCTGATTTATTGGCTTAGGTTTGTGTATTTAGCTGAGAGGGGGCGGAGGGAGGGAATGACTACTCCTAGAAATCATTTTCATGTGTGTGTGTGTGGGGGGGTGGGAGGGTGTGACTCTGGGTGTACAGGTATGTGGTCGAGTGAACATGTGGGGAGCATGTATATGTGGAGGATGGCATTGGAAATCATTCTCCATGGACTTTGAAACTTATTTATTGAGGCAAGGTCTCTTAATCAGAGACCAGAGCTGACTGATATAACTAGTCTTACTAGACAGCCCCTTCCATGGAGTCCCATCTCCGACTTTCAAAGCTAAAATTACAGGTGAGCTGTTGTGCCTGTATGACATTTTACATGGATGTCTGGAGACGCACACTCTGGTCCTGACGCCTGGGAGGCAGCCACTTTAACTACTGAGTAATCCCTTCAGTCCCTCTTGCATTTTTATTTAGAAGTAAATCTCAACAAGTAGAGACAATAAATCAATCATTCACAAAAGTGTTCATTCCTCTTCAATTCCAGGCACTCTGCTCGGAGAGGGAGGATATAAAACAGAATCCAGAAAACCTACCCCAAGAGATGGGGATGGAGACGCCCTAAGGTCACAGTGTCCTGTGACAGAATGAGGGCTTGCAGAGGACAGGGCAGTCTGCACTGTTCCTGAAGGGTGGGGGGCCTCACTGGGAAGGGGGACCAGCAGCATCTACAGATGCAGCAATGGAGTCAGGTGCCGTGGGAATGACCATCAGCACGGACGTAAGCATGCTGATAAACAAAGCTGTCTTTATGGGACTCAGATGCAGGTGAAGCTGACTCAGATGCTGCTGGGGTCAGCTGAGAAATCAGAAAAGCATGATTCTTTTCCATCCAGTGCTTCAGCAAGCAGGGCCTCCCTTGCTCTGCAGTCTTACCGTTCCATACTGTAAGGAAGGTGCAGGAAGAAGCGCAGATCAGCTGTAGGAAACGAACAGTCTGTGCCTGTTCTCTTTCAAGCTCTAAGCCTTCATCCTGGAATAGCAGCGGCATGGTTTCTTACAGAATGATGAGGGGCTGGAGATGTAGCTCGGTTGGTAGAGAGCTCACCCAGCATGCACAGGGTTCTGAGTTCCATCCCAACATTGCTTAAACCAGACGTAAAAGCCCCCTACCTCTAATCCCAACAGGAGAAATCAAGAACTCCAGGCTATCCTTCGATAAACATCTAGTTCAAGGACAGCTTTATCTACAGGAGACCCTGCTTCAATAACAACAGCAAACCCATTCAAATTTTATTAACTAAACCAAAAGGATTGCTTTTCTCTTTTCCAGCTGGAGATGTCCCTGTGCAGTACTGCCCCCAGCCCACCAACGGCATGGTCTATTTCCGAGCCTTTTCCAGCTTAAACACCCTTCCAGAGGAGTTGAGGCCCTATGTGCCTCTCTTCTGCAGTGTGCTAACCAAGTGAGTTTTGGATCATAATAGATGCACATCCATGCTGTTCAACATATTTTTATGATGTTTATCTGTGTGTGTGCACATGTGTATGTGTGTCCTTTGAGTATTTGTGTTATTTTCATGCCTTTTCTTACTTTCTTACTATAAATATATTGCAATAATAGATGAATCCAGAAAAGCAGGTAACACTTAGGAAGGCATCTGTCCAGGTAGATCACTGAAACTCTTGAAGACAGGGCAATGCACTTAGTCAGGAAATAAGAACAGGTCAGTGTAAGGAACAGTATAGCGTGAGGGCCGTCTGTTCAGGTGGCCCAGCCTCCTCCTCGTCTTTGCTTTTCTTCTGAGCTAACTCTGCAGTGGCTATTTTCCCCCACAGGCAAGTGTGTGGATAGATTAGAAATGGCACATGGAGTTTTTCTTGACAGCTACAGGAAGAGCTGCAGACTTCCTCTCCTGTGATAGGAAAGTAAAGGGAAAGTAAGGCTGGAGAGATGGCCCAGCAGCACTTGCTGCTCTTCCAGAGGCCCCGATTCTATTCCCAGCACCCACATGGTGACTCACGGCCGTCTGTAAATTTAGTTTCAGGGATTCTGACATCTTCCTCTGGTCTCTGTACACACCAGGACACATATAGTACACAGACATCCATGCAGGCAAATACTTAAACATGTAAAACAATAGGATATAAGAAGAAGTGTAAGAATCCTCGACCACAGGCACAGTGGCTGGTTCTGCTCCTTAGTCCAATGCTCACTTCATGGACCTAAAGCTGCTTGTGTTCCAAATGCTGCCTGACTCTGGAGCCGGTATGCTGGCTGAGGACTGGATTGCATGGAAAATGCATCTTTGACTTTTAGGAAGTTCTGTCCCAGTTCTCAACTATGTTAATAGCGCCCAGTGTTTGTCCTTTTAAAGCAGTTTTGAGGAGCACCTCACAGTAGTGCTCTGGGCTCAGACTGGTAATGTTTCTTCTGAATACATCAGCACACAGAGAATTTCTGCAGATATTTCTCAGCTCCCTCCCACTCCATCACCAAATATCTGAGCAAATGAAGTATGTTTGAAAATATTTAGGGGGAAGAGAGCACTCATGAAAGCGGTCCAAGCTAAAGGCTGTAAAAGCATATTCATCCTGTTGTCTTTAGCAACGGGCACTAACTGCTGAAGGACTTAGTGTCCTGGCTGCTGGGCCTGAGTTTCCAAATGGAGAAGTGGATTTGTACCTCACTGAGTGGGCACATGAGCTGTGTAGAGGTTTATGCTAACACGCATTCAGGAACCGTGACGTGTACAGGAGATACGGAAAGTTGTGGTTATGGATTAGCACACAAAACCTGTACGGTCTTTGAAAATGATGGGTACGGGCAGCTCTGGTAACTCAGCTCCTTCTTGGCTCATCAGGCTGGGTTGTGGCATCCTTGACTACAGAGAGCAAGCCCAGCAGATTGAGCTGAAGACAGGAGGCATGACGGTTTCACCCCACGTGCTCCCTGATGACTCCCAGCTGGACACCTACGAGCAGGTAGCCTTTCACTCCCCGTCACGGCTATAGTCAAAGGCGTGTCTCTGCAGTGCCCTTGTGTTTATTGGTACCATAATTAATGTCATCCTTTGCATTTTTCCTTGCTGATGCAGGGTGTGCTGTTTTCATCTCTCTGCCTAGAACGGAACCTGCCAGACATGATGCATCTGTGGAGTGAAATATTTAACAAGTAACTTTACTTGTGCCGTGTATTAATACGTGGGAGATTGGCATACCTGATTCTGAAATGCTTTCCCAAGGGATTTTCTTCATTTGTCAGATTCTAGTCTGATTTTACTTGTAATTAATTCCCAAGCACACAGAAAATTTTGAAAGGTTTTCTGAGTTACTCTGTAATAACTTTGCTGCCGTCAAAGCTGGGCCGGTCTCCAAGACTTCGCTGTGTTTTTGTAGCCCGTGCTTTGAAGAAGAAGAGCACTTCAAAGTGTTGGTGAAGATGACAGCTCAGGAGCTCTCCAACGGCATTCCCGACTCGGGGCATCTCTATGCATCCCTCAGAGCGAGCAAGACACTCACGCCTTCAGGGGACTTAAAGGAGACCTTCGATGGGATGGATCAGGTGAGCACTGACGAGGACAGGTGTGTGTTCTCGATGAGCAAGGCTTCCGGGAATTGGCAGTGTTCTGTGGTAATGAATGATTTTATCTCAGAAACCTAACTTTCTAAAAGCCGGGTTTGGTGGCTTCTGCTTGTCAGACCAGTTTCCACAAAGTCAGAGGCAGGCGGATCCCTGAGGACTGCTGGCCAGCCAGCCTAGCCTACTTCAGGAGTCTCTGGCCAGTGAGAGACCGTGTCTCATAAAAATGGTGGGTGGACCCTAAGGAATGATAGCTGAAATTGTCCTCTAACTTCCGCATATACATGTTTGCATGCATGGCCATGAAAATACATAGGCATGCACACACGCTGAAACCAGAAGGCTAACTTTCTAACTTAATTCTGGTTTGTTTTGGTTTTTTTTTGTTTCTGATTTTGGATACACAAACAGGGTTTCTCTGTGTATCCCTGACTGGCCTCGAAATTAAAGATTTACCTGCCTCTGCCTCTGCCTCTGCCTCTGCCTCTGCCTCTGCCTCTGGAGTGCTGGGATTAAAGACGTTCGCCACCACTGCCTGGCTTAATTTTGATTTCTGATTCCCAGACTTCATGGATGAAAGTGTCTGTTTGAACTCCCTTCCTCTGTGTGACACACACTCCCTCAGCACCACCCAAGTGATGCTGGCAGTGAACACACAAGCGCACACAAAACCAAGACGCATCCAGTAGTCAGGCAGGACCAGTATTAGGGCTGTTTGCATTTCAGACCGGTCCAGAGAACAAAGAGACAGCTCACAACTAAAACATTACTCCGTAGGAATGACAAGGTGCCAAGAAGGTCGCTGTGCTCTGCAACATGCCTTTCTAGGACTCTGAGTTCGAAAGAATCACCAATAGTTTTGTGATAGGTATTTTCCTGCTACTGTAATGAAGTACCATAGCCAAAGGCTATTTAAGGAAGAAGAGATCCATTTTAGCTTGTGGTCCCACAGGGCTAGAGTCCATGATGTTGGGAAAGGCATGCAAACAGGATGCAGAAGCAGAGGCCACATTCTCCTGCATACTCAGGAAGCAGAGAGAGAATAGGAAGTGGGTGAGGCTATAAACCCTCAAAGCCCACCCCCAGGAACTTACCCCCTCCAGCAACGCTGCACTTCAAGGGGTTCTATCATCTCCCCAAACAGCACCACCATCGGGGCACCAAGTGTTCAAATGCCTGAGTCTACAGAGGACTTTTCCCATCCTAACCACCATGGCTGTCACCTAGAATTTGTTTGAATTGTGCAGTGTATTGACTGTCTGTGTGGTCTGACTCAGTGTCTGCCTCCTTTGGGTCAGGTGAGGCTGATGAAAAGAATTGCAGAAATGACAGACATCAAGCCCATCCTGAGAAAGCTCCCCCGGATCAAGAAATACCTACTAAACTGTGATAACATGAGGTGGGTGCCCCAATTGTTCCCAGACAGGTCTTAGGATTCACACCATTTCAGACCATGTCATTTTTCAGTATTTTTTACTTGATGATGTAATTACCTGAATTTATCTTCAAACCAGAAAGTGTACTGGTGTGGGTGTTAAGTTATAGGATTGTTCAGACATCAAAATAATGTTTTGTGGAAATCAAAGAATATCATTTTTAATTTAATAAAAGTTGGGTGAAGTGGAGAAGAAAGCAACTAATTTAAGTCTAGAACTACAGAGTAGACTTAGGGCATCAACTTAAAAGGTTTTTTTTCCTCTAAAAGTAAACATTTCATAAACAAGGAATCGATGAGACCTAGAGAAGGTTATTTTGCTCAAGGCCGGTGTCCTGATAAGGTTAAGGTTTCTGTTGCTGTGATGAAACACCATGACCAAAAGCAACTTGGGGAGGAAAGGGTTTATTTGTCTTATATATCCAGAGTCACAGTCCACTGAAGGAAGTCAAGTCAGGAACTCAAGAAGGGCAGGAACCTGGAGGCAGAAACTGATGTAGAAGCCATGGAGGGGTGCTGCTTACTGGCTTGTTCCTCACGGCTTGCTCAGCCGGCTTTCTTGTAGAACCCAGGACTACCAGCCCAGGGATGGCACCACCCACCATGGACTGGACCCTCCCCATAAATCACTAGCCTTACAGCTGGATCTCATGGAGGCATTTTTCTCAACTGAGGTTTTCTCATTTTGGTTGACTCTAGCTCGTGTCAAGTTTTCAAAAACTAGCCAGGGCAAGCAGTGTCTTCTATCAGTTGGTGCACATTAAGTTAGCTTTATGCACTCAGGCTTGAGCGTGAATAAAATTGAAGTATCCATAGATGATGTATAGTGTCTGTTGCCACCAGCAGTGTTGATTTAGTAGTCACCGATGATTAACAAGAAAAGGCATTATTAAAGCTACTGTTTTGCATAGATTCCTGGTTCCTGTCTTTTTCTGCTCTCCCCCCTCCTGGTACCCTTCTCTAATCAGTTCTTGAAAATCATTAACGGATGCCACAGGGCAGACTACCTGGCAGGAGCGGTCTCATGTTATCAGTGCTCCTCCTGCCTTTGGTGTCTTGTGGGCCAGCTTGCATTTCCTTCCCTTCTACCCCAGGCCAACAGAATTCATTGCTTACCCTTCCACCCCAGGCTTTACTCACCATGGTGCCCCAGGCCAGCCTGGCCCAGACTAACCCTCCCCAGGATTCATCTCACCTGTTCCCTAGGCTGGCTCCTCCTGTGTTCACCCTCACACCCTAGGCTAACTTAGCCAGCACTCACTATAATACCAAAGACCAGCCTGGGGAGCTTAGAGTGTCTGCTTCCTTCTCTATAAAACTGTCTTTGGAAGTTCCTTACATGTAACAAAATCAGTAATATATATAGGCAGTGAGTCTAGAGCCCATACACGGTGTTTATTCAGTAGTGACTGCTGTGAATTTAACACTGGAAGGAGGAAACCTGCATCATCTCTGTGAGTCTCTCAAGTCTGGAGGAGTTTTCTATCAGGGTGTTTTAAAATGTCTTAAATTTCTGACTTACGGAGCTGGAGAGATGACTCAGTAGTAAAGAGCATTTGCTGCTCTTGCAGGGGACTGGAGTTCAGTTCCCAGCACCCACACTGCGCAGCTGTAAGTCCAGCTCCAGAGAATCCAACATCTTCTGGCCTCCGTGGGCACCTGCACACATGAGCCTATACATAGTACATGTAGGGCATGCATAAGTTTTGTTTTTAATTCTCTCCTTTCGACAAGTTTGTGGTTTCAAATTGGCGAACGCTTTTGCAGATAGTCACGTTCTAGAAGTTTTCTGCTCTTTGTTATAAGCCTGAAGGCATTGGCGGAAGCTGATGGTATTCATGCTCTTCACTTTGCTCTTCAGAGTCTGTGTTAACAGCCGTGAGGCGTGACACGTACGTCACATCGACCACGCTGATACTAATGCCATCTAGAGAATGAGACAGCTACGTGATTTCTTCATCTGGATGTTGTTTCTTTGGAACATTTATTTAGTATTTTATAACAAAAACACAGTTAATTCACATTTCTGTGTCATTTATACAAAACGTGATAAGTTAGTAAAATAAAGGTTTTAGGTTTTTTTGGTGAGTTTTTTTTTTTTTTACATGTACAATTCTCCGCAGATGCTCAGTCAATGCCACCCCTCAGCAGATGCCTCAGGCAGAGAAAGAGGTGGAAAACTTCCTTAGAAATGTTGGCCGCAGCAAAAAGGAGCGGAAACCTGTTCGCCCCCATATTGTCGAGGTAACAGAACCATGTCACTGTTCTCAATAGCATGACATATGTAGGGATTAATATCCTTATGGTTATATTTGGAGAGACAAGTACATGGGAGGATTAAGTGACTTAATCAGCCTAGCTAAGTGAATTCAGACGCCATCCCGTGTATCCTTGTTCGTGCTTGTAGGTAAGCTTTCTTCTGATAGGCAAGAGCAGACTTTGGCCTAGGATGTAATAACATAAAAAAGAGCCCAAAACATTGATCTGATTAAAGTGTCCCCTGCATTTTGTCAGGCTTGGAATCAGACCCAAGTTGGTCAGAGCCTTTCCCCTGTGGCTCATTGTTTCACAGATTTTATCCTTGGGCACAATACTTGTCAGTGATAATCTTCAGTGCAATTGATTTGCAAAGGTTTGTGTTGTTTTTAAGTCTAAGTCTTTAGAAGCCTCACCTGTCACTGCAGAAGGCTGACCCATTGCAGGTCTTGTAGAAATTATTTTAGTGTCTTCTCTGCTCTGGTGCACATGTTCCTTCTTCCGTTTGTTATTTGGTTTCCCTGTCTGTTTGACATCTTCACCACCCTGTAATGAGCGTCTACACGGAAGTGACTCACTGCTCCTTTGGCCCTCTGTCTGTAGCCTGTGATAGCCCACTGCTCCATTGGCCCTGTGTCTGTAGCCTGTGATAACCTACCACTCCTTTGGCCCTCTGTCTGTCTGTAGCCTGTGATAGCCCACTGCTCCTTTGGCCCTGTGTTTCTAGCCTGTTTGTGTCACCCTTGTGCTTTGGAAGATACTTAGATACAGAAATATTTTGCTCATTGTTTTTGTTGTTGCTGCTGATACATTTATTTCTCTCTCTCTCTCTCTGTGTGTGTGTGTGTGTGTGTGTGTGTGTGTGTGTGTGTACGTGTGTGGGCATGGGTGTGCCACAGTGCGTGTGTGAAGGTCACAGACAACTTGTAGGAATCGGTTGTTTCTTTCCACCTTGCAGGTCCAGGCCCATTGAGTCATCTCCCTGGCTTTGAAAGACAGTTTTATGACTAGAAAGTAGCTGTTTTTATTGTCTGTTTTAAAATTTCACTTTTTTACATCATGAAGCCCTAACTAACCCATGGAAGGAACTCTGTGGACTTTTTAACGGCCATACCTTCCTAACTATTTCAAGGAAGTTTCTCTTGACTCTTTGGCACCTTTTCTTTTCAGAAACCTACACACAGTGGCTCCCGGGGCAGTGCGCATGTTAGCGGCTCCCAGATCATCAGAAAGCTGGTAACAGTGAGTGACCACAGGCTGTCGGGCTCCTTGCTGCGTGCTTGAGCACACCCTGATTGTCAGCATTCTTCTGGTGGGGCCTTTCCAGGACGGAACTGCAGCCACAGACTCGGGGAGTCACTGTCCCTTACCATTGTCACCCTGAGCCTTTTCTCTTGGGACAGCCCAGAATGGATATCATATTTCTTAATAAGCCTCTACTTACTCCACCAAATAGTCTCATCACTTTACAGTCTACCCACATCTTAATGTAGTGTATGCTGCTTAAGCCTCAGCAGCTGCCTCCAGTTAGGCAGTGGCATCAATCCCTGTGAAATCCCTTTGTACTCATTGCTTTCCGTATGATGTCGCTTGGTCTGGGTCTTTGTAGAGTACAGCGGTTTAATGTATTCCTGGAAAATCAGCCACAGTCTGGAATGCTTTTAATTTAATAGTAATTACATTTTAATGCATCTCACCAAATGTGGGGTGTTTCTTGTTAGTCCGTAAGTAAATTACCATTGTGCTGGCCTTAGCAGAGCCTGTCTCGTGACTCCCTTGGAGATGGAGATGCTGGGGAGGTGCCTACGGGGTTTACTACCTGTGGGCCACATTTGGTTTTGCAGCCCAGTCTGAACCATAGGTCTCTGCCCCTCAGGACCCCACCTTCAAACCCTGCCAGATGAAGACGCATTTCGTGCTGCCCTTCCCTGTGAACTATGTTGGCGAGTGTGTCAGAACCGTCCCCTATGCTGACCCAGATCATGCCAGGTAGGAGGAGGGGTACAAGCGCATCCCCTCTCACATCTGGACTTCAATGAAAGTGTTTGTGAGCATGATAGAAGGGAAAGAGGGGACCGGCTGGGGAGATGGCTTTGTTGTTAGAGTGGGAAGAGCTGAGTTGAGATTCCCTGTACCCACGGAAAAGCCAGATGAGGTGGCATCGATAACCCAGTGCCACAGAAGCAGAGACAGGCCAACTTCCGAAGCTCATTGACCAATCAGTCTGGCCAGATCAGTGGACTCTAGACTTAGTGAGACATACTGTCTCCAGCAATAAAAACATTCTGTCAGAAGAATGGCCATGATAGCTGAACATTGAGCTACAAATGAATTAGTTGACTAAATAGTACATAGCAACAATAAGTAAAAGAACAAATAGCAAACAAGCAAGCAGTTGATAGCAGAATGTCAAAAGGACATTGCACTTACAGTATCCAGCAGAAGTGACTGGATGAGCACCGCCCAACCTGCCAGCCCGCATCCAGATTCAAAGTCTGGGCAGTGTTTTCCCCTTGAGAGGCTTCCAGCTTCTGGAACTGCTTTCTTTCCAGCTGTTCTTAAAGCCCTTTGGACTGTTCTCTTTTCTCCTTGTCACTGGTCAAGGGAGGGCCAGCCTGCCCCAGGACACTAGGTCTAGAGGACACTTGAGATAAACACTCAAGTCTGAGACAAGGGACCCTACTCTGCACCCAGAGTTAGCGCTCAGCTTACACAAGCAACACATGACAGTTAAGTGATGTGATTTATAATACAGAGACTGAGCGAGGAAGATACTCACCATCTGTCCCCCACACATACACGCACACACACATGCGTGCCCACACACGGGTACACACACACACACACGAGGTCCACATGTGAGGGATGCTTTGGGCTCACAAAGTTTCTGCACTAGCTTCACACACTGGACCCTCTGTTACATTGTACTGTCTATCACGTAAATGTTCCGACTATACCAGTCAGCAGAGTTCATATGCAGAACAACACACGCCCCCACCAGTAGTTAATAAACTGCAGCTTTATGGATAAAATGCCCAGTGTTGTGTGCAGTGTTATTCTTGTGAACTAAGCAGTCCTGTATACAGCAGCATACTTACTCCCCTAAATGCAAATGTCCTTCAAAGTGATTGACTTAATCTCCTATGTATTTAACAATGTTAATTAAGTCTTAAAACTGTCTGATAAATGTAGAATGAACACATGTGCTTACATTTGAGACACACATGCTCTCTCTCGTGTGTGCGCATGCACGTACACACACACACACACACACACACACACAGATACTCACATCCACCAATCACCCTGAAGAATATCAGCAAGGATGTTAACGAGGGCACTGCGGAAGGGAGGGTTTATTATGGTTCATGGTTGGAAGCTACATTCTATCAGGATGGGGAAGCCATGGCAGCAGGACCCTAAGACAGCTCATACTGTGCCCACAGCCAGGAAGCAGAGAGCAGTGAATGCCGGTGCTCAGTTCACACTCTCCTTTTTACACAGTCTAGGACCTCAGCCCAGGGATGATGCCGCCCATGTTCAGGCCCAGTCTTATCACTTCAGTAAACTCAGTCTAGAAACTCCTTCACATATGTGCCCCCTCAAGTTGACGGCCTGGTGTGCAACATAGGAGAGTTGCAAGAACATTTTGAAAGTGGCAGATACCCTAGGAGTCCTGCAGAGGGACAGATCCACAGGGAGAAAGACAGGCTGGCCTCTGAAGGGCAGCTCTAGATTCCTCTGAGGAATGGTTAGGCTCTGTGCTCTGCCATACCGCAGAAGATCAGAAAGGGGCTCGCTGATAGATGTTGGAGGAGAGAGACTCTTGTTGGTTTCCAGCCTTAAACCCAAAATAATCACACAGAAACCATATTATTTAAGTCACTGCTTGGCCCATTAGCTCTAGCTTTTTATTGGCTAACTCCTACATCTTAATTTAACCCATCTCCATTAATCTGTGCATCACCACGAGGTCGTGGCCTGCTGACAAAGTTTCAGCGATGTCTGACTCTGGCGGTGGCTCCATGGCTTCTCTCTGACTCTGCCCTTCTCCTCCCATGCCATAGGCCAAGCCAGTTCTTTATTCGTTGACCAATAAAAGCAACACATAGACGAAAGGACCTCCCACACCAGATAGAGAAGGCAGACTGCCTTGGAAGAAGGACCCCTGCCTATGGCCTTACAGCCTAACCAGACTTTATTTTCTTTTTCAGTTGTCCACCCCATTTCTTGGCATTGGTTTTAATGTTATACTTTCTATGAGTCATGCTCTAACTTGTTTTTTGCTTCCTTCTTTTCAGTCTTAAGATCCTTGCCCGTTTAATGACAGCGAAATTCCTGCATACAGAAATCCGAGAAAAGGGGGGTGCCTATGGTGGAGGTGCTAAACTCAGCCACAGTGGGATTTTCACACTTTACTCTTACAGGCGAGTTTCTGAGTTGTCCTGTTTCATGTGAAAGCACCCACATTGCAGCCACTGGCTCTGTTCACACAGAGTGTCACCATTCCATGTGAACATTGACGCAATGAAGGTTACGTCTGTTTGTTTGGTCCCCTTCTTGAGCCACCGAACTGTGACTTTCTTGCAGCAAGGATCAGACACAGTGGTGGAAGAGTTGTGTTGTTGCATCGTTTACATTAGACAAAATTCTCGCTTTCTAATCAGAATGTTTTGGTAGAATGCAGTCAGTGGCTTCTGAATGTACTTCTGTTGTAGAAACCTAATCAAGATATGGTTCTGTTGGGTTTGCACAGGGAGGAGACTGTTGTGAGACTAGAATTTTCTGTAAATGTTAGTGTTTCAGGCACTGTTTCCTGAAGCCTTGTATGCCAACGTGCTAAAAACAAGGCCTTGCCACTGATGCCGTTGTCCTTGTCCTGACTCTACCCCAGAACTGCAGGCAGGGAGCGTTTCAGTGACAAGTCTTCAGGACCTTGGTGGTGAGCTTAAAGAGCTAAGAGGAGATTTAGACACAAGAAAGTACTCCAGAAATCCCCCAACTCTCACTCATTTCTGGGCGATTCTGGGTTTGTCCTGGGGAAGCAGGGACTGGTTGAATGTGTACCTTTTCCACGGCTCTTCTATAAAGTCTCAGTATTCCTGACACGCCACCATCCATGTGCCTTCCTCTCTAGACAAAGTCACAGTCGAGCAGTGGGGTAAGCAGGTGACTGTGGTATTAAATAAGGTGTGTGCTGTGAGGTGTTATTTTATCAATTTATATTCCCCAGAGACAATGCTCTGTCAGTGGGCTGTGTAGAGTGTAGACTATCAGATTTAAAAAAAAAAAAAAACTAAAGCTGTTAACATGATTATCATAGCTCCCCCTGACATAATGCTTCAGTATTGGCTCTTTCGGGTTTCCAGGGATCCAAACTCCATAGAAACCCTCCAGTCTTTTGCGAAGGCTGTAGACTGGGCTAAGTCTGGAAAGTTCACCCAGCAGGACATTGATGAAGCCAAGCTTTCTGTTTTCTCCGCTGTGGATTCTCCTGTTGCCCCATCGGCTAAAGGTACTTCAGGGGCCGGTAACCTGCGTGCATAGTTTCCTGGGGCAGAATTCCAGACAGTTTTCTTAGTCATGGGTCTGACTCACATGAATGAAACACAGTAGCAGCTATGTTCTTTCAGAGTCTCCCATCTCTGTCCTTTGACCTCCTGAACACTGACCTTAAAAACACCTCCACCAGTAAAGTACTTGTTAAGCGAGAGTTCAGACCTGAGTTGAAATATGTAAAAATTCAGGCATAGTGGTAGGTACTTCTTAATCCTAACACAGGGAAGTTGGGGACAGGTAGATCCTTGAGGCTCACTGGTCAGACAGCCAGCAAACCCTACTTGGTGAGCTCTAGGCTAGTGAGGGTGACCCTGTCCCAAAAACCAAGGTGAGTGGAGCTGACTAGATAGCTCAGCAATGAAGCGTGGTTATTGCTCTAGCAGAAGATCTGGGTTTGGGTCTTCGCATCTGACTCTGGCAATTCACACCTGCTCGTAACTTAGCTCCCAGGGGATCCTATAGCTAGTTTGAGTAAAGGAAGGCATTTTGACACAGCACAAGACTGGCCACATTGTTATTCAATGCTGCTTTTCTTTGTAGTATTGTTACCCATGTGACCTATACTGACTCTTCATCCGTACTCTGAGAAAGGGAGTCTATAATGGGCTCGGTACCGTTTTATAGAGGTGGATATCAAGTTGAATCTCTCTTGCACTTGTAACCTTTTTGGTTGAAGAACACACCATTAAGTGGCATGAGTGTCCCACTATATTTTGAGCACAAAGGCCCCTGTGCAAGCCATTTCCCCAGCCATACTGGTGGTTTTAATTTTCAGGAATGGACCACTTCTTGTATGGCCTCTCGGATGAGATAAAGCAGGCTTACCGGGAACAGCTGTTTGCTGTCAGCCATGACAAACTCACCTCTGTGAGCCATAAGTGAGTATGTGTGCCCTGGCTTCCTGTGTTATCTGGGGGAAGGGAAACTCAGAAAGGTGAGGCTTCCTGTTGACCACGAAAAAACTAGAGAACGGTCCAATGTGCCATCTTCCTTGCAGGTACCTTGGCATCGGGAAGAGCACACACAGCCTGGCTATACTCGGACCAGAGAACCCAAAAATTGCCAAAGACCCATCATGGATCGTAAGATAATGAGTTTCGCATATTTCCGAGTCTCCTTTAAGAAATCAGAGGCTCTTAAAAACTGAGCCTCTGAACCACAAGGGTTGCTGGTTTATTTTTTGTTGTTCTAAAAATCATAGATATATTAAAAATCTGACCAAAGATGTCTATCAACTTACAAGTTGGGCAAAACCTTCAGAAAATACTGTGACGAAGAAATTCATTGACATTATCATGCATTAAATGGCAAAAGTGAACAAATTAAAGTTCTGAAATGTTACTAAGCCTAGAACATTTATTTTGAGAATAAAAGTCACCTCTGACCTACCTGGGCTTTAGTCATTATTTTAACCATTTTACTACTTTAAAATTAGTTTTTGGGCCTTCATTCTTTTACAAAAAGAAGAACAAACGAATAAATACTCATTTGGAGAAATAGCTCAGCAACTAAGAGCACTTGCTGCTCTTTCAGGTGACCAGAGTTAGGTTCCCAGAACCCATGGAGCGTCTCATACCATCTGTAACTTGTTTCTGGGCATCTGATGTCCCACTACATGAATTTAGTGATGTACGTGTAAATAACTAAAATCATAAACCCGGAGTTAATGTTCTCCACCTGTATGATCATCAGTGTCAAAGTCCCAGACCCAGCACTGTGTGTGTGTGTGTGGGGGGGGGGGGGTGTAATAAAGAGCATGACAGGGCGGGAGGGAGGGAGGGGAGGAAAGAGAAGATAATCTGCACACGTATGCATGTGGAGGTCAAGAGAAGACTTACTGTGGTTTCCTTCAAGCATCATCTACCATGTTTTGTTTTGTATTTTGAGACAGGGTCTCTCACTGGCCTGGAGCTCACTGAGCAGGTTAGGACTAGCCAGCACACCAGAGATCTGTCTGTCTCTGCTAGTACATGCTATTACACCTAGTTTTTTTAATTATTATTAATGTGTCCTGGGGATCAAACTCCTGCTCTGACCCATCCCTTTCAGTACAGCCTACAGGAGTGCCCAATGTTCGCTTAATGGCACACAGCTGGTGTCGATCACAGCGTCTTCTTTCCCCTCCTCTCAAGACTCTGTTGGCTTAGTCCCTATCTGTACCTGCCCCGGGGTATCTAAGGAGACTTTTCTAACCTCTGTCCATAAAACTGCTGAGGAAACCCTTGGCCAGGAAAAAGTACCCTGAGATTTCAGGCTCCTACTTAGAACAATGAACTACTGAAAACAATAAATAAACAAGAAACAATAAAGGACCATGGAAGTTGTAGCCAAACGTTTAATTCCACAAGACACATGGTAAAGCACAAGACAGTACCCCGTACAGTAGAAAACAGACACTGGATCAAGCACATGGGGCTGGGTTTCCTTTCTCGGGCTCTGATGAGTCGATGATTATGGCAAGTGGTGCTCTGACAATCTGCTGACAATACCCGGTCAACAATACTTGCATAAAGTGCTGATAAATAACTATGTTACAAAAAGCATGGTCCCTGGGGAACATTACAGGCTTCCCTAGACAAGTGTGTAGGTCAGGTGATAGCATGCTTGATCAGATGGCTGCCGGTTCTCCACGGGAGATGGCATGGTGGTGTCCCAAGGACTCCAGCTTGCCTGCATCAGACACATCATAGCTCGCCTTGTACTTGGCCAAGATCTTCATGAGAGGCCGCAGTTTCAGCCACCACTGCTCCTTGGGGATCCGGTGCCTGGCAGGAAAACAGGTCAGCCATCAAGTATTACATTTTGTACTGAAGACAACTCCCAACTGCTACAGGCTGCTGGGAGCTGTTTGAAAAGCCTCCCCAAAAAAGATGAGCCTGGTTTTATAGTGCAGTAATCTGAATAAATTTGGGGTGATATGGCAACTGTTTTTAATTTCAAAACAAGGTCTTACTTAAGGGTGGCCTTAAAAAAGATGAAAGTATTGCACCATACCCAGTATATGTGTGTTTGTGTGTGTGAGTATACGTTCATGTCTGTCTTTGCGTGTATGTCTGTGTGTGTCTGTGTGTGTGTGTGTGTGTGTGTGTGTGTATTACTGGAGATTGAATGTAGTGCCCTACACAGCTAGGTACAATTGCTCTTTATATGTTTAGTGTTTCGAGGTAAGGTCTCACCATGTTGTCCGATCTGACCTTGAATTTAGAATTCCCCTAAAACAGCCTTGAGGTCTTGGGATTGTAGGCCACACCAGAAAAAGCTCATAGATTACCTAAAACAGGTCAGTAAGTGAGCTGCATACAGTAGCCAGGGTAGCACTGGTGATCTGCCCTCACAGCTCCTAGTTCTCATTCCTTCTCAAGAGCTTGAGGTAAGGCACATTTTTTACTTACTCAAAATCCGTTTCTTTCTTCAATTCCACCACTGGTTGAAACAGAAGGTCTCTTTTGATTATTCCCAGGACACAAATGGAGTCATCGCTAACAAATTTTTTCCCTGTGGAAAGTTAAAATAAGAAATCTAAAAGATACTCAGCATACTGGGTGAGCATATCTCATAGCCTAGGAGAGACAAGACAGCAAAGGGAGAGAAACCACCAGAGACCATATCTGGATATCAAGGAGAGAAGTGCAGCTCTTCAGAGGCCTTCTCAGGAGTGCTCACTCAGTGCCAAGCCAGGGAGGGTGTGGAGTATTCCTAAGAAACAGCTGTCCAGTCTCTCAAGGAGACCTATATGACCAGGGTCCTTCCCAGACTGCCAACACAGCTCTGGTCTTTGAGCTCTGTCCCTTTAAGGTTCCTCCAGGATCGGGTACAAAGAGGCCTAGATTGTGCTGGGGTCTTCTTTATGGCACACACCCAAAGAGGAGCCCTTTACCTATCTCCCACCTACATACAGTACACCTACCAGATACGGGCTACTAGTCGGAGAGGTTCCTGGAAAGGAACATTTTATAGAATGCTTGTCAAGTATTTAATTCACTAAATAGTGTAATAAGAAAATATGCTCAAATTGCAAGAAGAGGGCTGGAGAGAAGACTCAGAGGTTAAGAGCATTGCCTGCTCTTCCAAACGTTATAAGTTCAACTCCCAGCAACCACATGGTGGCTCAAGTTGCAAGAAGATTTCACTTTAATAGTAAATGTTCAAGGACAAACTGGGAAAGGAAATCTAGGTAGAAAGAAAGAATACAAGAGTATGAAGTGATGTAGAAAAATTATCAGGAGAAAAAAAGCCAGTCAGGATTTCGAAAATACTACAAGTCGGTTGGAACTATATATATATCCATTTTGTAGAGTGCCACTTTTGTAACCCACATGCTGGTCACTGTGTGGGTCTGTTCTGATGAGGACACACCTAGGTGACTGATAGAGAAGCCTGAGGGGAGAGGGTGCCAAAACCCTGGCACAAACAGCCATTCTGAAAAGGGAATGGGATCTAGGAATGCAGGCCTCAAAAGGGAATGGTGCAAAAAGTTTCATGCAAAGTTTTGATAATGTAAATGATTTTAAACTGTCCTAGAAAATGTAAGTCCCAAAAGTTATCAAAGAAAGTGTGTTGTTTCATTGAGCGTGAATGAAATCCATGTCGCACTCAAATCTTTCCACAAAGGAAACTGGAGGTTTTGACAGATGGTCTCACAGGAAGGGTCTACCAAACATCCTGCAAGCTAAACTCCCATGTCACACAGACTGTGTGTGTAGAGGAAACTGCCCCATCCCCCCCTCAGTATCAAACATGACCCCATGGAAAATACCAGTGGGGAAACAGCTGGCACATGGTTTCTATCACCAAAACAAGTGTCCTACACCAAAGCATTGCCACATCTGAGAAGTCTGGGTGTCAGTCATGGGCCGGGTGGATGCAAAGGAAACCAGGGTGCCTGTGAGAGAGCAAAGGACTGCTGAGACTTGCTGGCAGCCTGCGCTGAGCATGCATCTGGGTGGGTGTGGGAGAGGGACAGACCCCCAGACACTACAGCATATCGAGTCAAGCGATTTGGAGACACCTGAAGCGTTAGTTGGTCTGAGCAGTTCAGTTTTATCGTGTGTGTTCATCAGTGTGTGAACAAGACCATCCCAGAAGTAGAGAAAGAAGGACACCCTTCCTTCATACAACCTAGAAAGCCGAGCCAGATTACACCATGAAGGTGTATTCACTTCATAGTGGCATTCTAGAATTCTTGAAGAAATCATAGGAATGGTTCTTACAAAATCCCAAGGTTGCCTCTTTAGGAGAAAATAAGATATTGAAGAAAGACAATATTTAGGACCCGCAGCCAGACGTTAGGTGGAGCGAGAACCCAAGTCAGAAATTTCCATCAGATCCTTCCCCTTAGAGCTCAGGGAATCCTGAAGAGGAGGGGGAGGAAAAACTGTAGGAACCAAAGGGACAGAGGACACCATGAGAACATGGCCTACAGAATCAACTAAGCGGGGCTCATGAGGACTCACAGAGACTGAAGCAGCAATTCCTGAGCGTGTGTGAGTCTGCGCTAGGTCCTCTGCATATACGTTATGGTTGTTAGCTTGGCTTTTGTGGGACTCCTAACAGTGGGAGTGGGAGCATCTCTGATTCTTGCCTACTCTTGGGACTCTTACTGGGTTCCTCACCTAGCCTAGATACGAGGGTTTGTGCCTAGTTTGCTGTATTGTGTTATGCGACGTTCATTTGATATCCCTGGGAGGCCTGCTCTTTTCTGAAGGGAAATGGAGAAGGAGTGGATCTGGAGGAGAGGGGAGCCTGAGAGAAGTGGAGGGAGGGAAAACTGTCATCAGGAAGTACTGTATGACAGAATAAAAACATCAAAAACTAATATTTAGGGTCTTAAGAAGGAAAATAGGACAGCCTTCCCAGTCAGTTGCTCATATTTCCCACCCAATTATACAGTTGCCTGTGAATCAAATCAATGAACAACTGTTAGATAACCTAAATAAAGAGATCCTGACCGTGCTTCATGACACCACAGAAATAAATAAAAGTTACATTTTACAGTATTCTTGCTATACACCATTCTTGCTAATGGTGAGCAGTGTGTGCCCGGCAATCTTCTGAATAACAAGAATGCTACCAAACTACTTGTCACCTGTTGCTAACAACAGAAACAAAACGTTAATTTTTATTAATAATGTTTCACTATAACCTAGAGAAGTTATAAATGGTATTCAGTACGCACACGAAGGAAAGATAAGACAGTATGCTGGGCATCTCGATGGCAGATTTATAGGAGAAGGAAAGACACCGTAGCTTTGATAACACAGGGTTCCCAGTGAGGAAGCCGAGGCACCTCACGCTGCGCATCCATTCTCCCGACAGACTCCTACCTGTGCCCTGGGACCCCTTCAGTTTGTCTGTGATCCACTCCATCGCTCTCGCAGAGATTTTGGTTCC